TAACGAAGTCTGCCCATTTTCTGCCAATCAAAGTAAATTTTAATATGGAATAGCTCCCACAATTATATATTAGAGAAATAGTCAAATTGCATGGAGTTCCAGTCACCGTTGTTTCAGATAGACACCCGTAATTCACATCGAAATTTTGGAAAAGTTTACAAGGAGCCAAAAGGACGAAATTGAAATTTAGCACTACTTATCATCCACAAACGGATGGACAATCAGAAAGAACCATTCAAACTATTGAAGATATGTTGAGGGTGTGTGTTTTGGAACTTGGCGATAGCTGGGAAACATATCTGTCGTTAGTGAAGTTTGCTTACAACAATAGCTTCCAGGCTACTATAGGCATGGCCCCATTTGAAACTCTTTATGGTAGGAAAAGCATATCCCCTATCCCTTGGGATGAGGTCAGAAGAATAGAATTTTGGGTCCTGAAATGATTGAACGAACAGTTAGGGTGGTTGATAAGATTAGAGTAAGAATAAAAATAGGTCAAGACCGATAGAAAAAGTTATGCTGATGGTAAAAGAAAGGATTTGAAATTTCAAGTTAGGGACAAAGTTTTTCAGAAAGTAGCACCAATGAAGAGTGTATTGAGATTTGGTAAGATTGGAAAATTGAGGCCATGATTTATTGGGCCTTTCGAAATCCTTGAAAGGATTGGTATTGTGGTTTATCGACTTGCCTTACCATCGAACTTGCAGCAGTGCATAACGTGTTCCATGTTTTGATGCTCAAAAAATATGTTCATGATCTCAATCATGTGGTGGGTTATCAGACACTGGGGGTACAAAAAGACTTATCATGTGAAGAAATTTCGATGATGATTGTAGATAGAAATGTGCATCAACTCAGAAGTAAAGAAGTTCCCTTGGTCAAGGTTCAATTGCGAAATCATGGATTTGACGAGTCAACTTAGGAGAAGGAAGATGAACTTAAAATCAAGTATCCAAAACTCTTCAATTAGCCAAGATAACTTTCAAAGACAAAAATATTTTAAGGAGAGGAGATTGTAAAATCCCGAAAATTTTCATAAAATAGAATTATTTATTTTATATACTATATTTTAATATATTGGAAAGTTATGGACTAAAGTGATGTGTGTGTGTGTGTGTGTGTAAGTGAGGCCCAAGTTATCGAAGTCGAGAGATATTTCCTTAAATTGTAAGTTAGTTAAATTATTTAATGAATTGTGAACTTTAATGGGAAGCCACGTGTATGATATCATGTGTTTTTTTTTTTTTTAATTGTGGCAAGTTTGACACATGTGGGAATCTTAAATTGATAAGACTTAGTCAAACTTTTGTTTCAAATACTTTTATCCAATTACTCTATCCACCTCCCACACGTTTTCCCACTATGCACCAACTCTTTAGGGTCTAGGTTAGTATTGCCTAAGTACATATAACCTGATGGTGGGTACACAAACAAAATTTACATTTATACACAGCACACAAGTAGAGACACGAAAATAATTTGGAACGTGATTTTGGGACTTTTCATCTTTCAAGAACTTATTCAATCTAACAAGGTAGGATTATGAGGTGCAAATGATGTTATTCCGTTTAAATTATTTATTTTCATGTTGATAAATATTATACTAATGAAAGTTATGATATGATATGATATGAAATTGTCATCAGATACCAAAGATATGATATGTTATGAGCTCTTACCGATTTTTATGATATGACTGTATGATATTTTTGACGCATGATTTAATCGCTTATGAAAGTTATGATATGATATGATTATGATATGAAATGGTCATCCGGTACCAAAAATATGATATTATGAGCTCTTACCGATTTCTAAAGATATGATATGACGGTATGATATTTTTGACGCATGATTTAAATATTTTATTCTGAATTGCAGCCTTAATTCGTGTCCTATAGAGCATTTTCATATACTCACCCATTTCCCCCAACTTCACAGGCTAGAATGGGTACTTGGTTGGGGGGCAATGAGATGCAATCATCATGCCAAGATTTATGGAAGTCAGTAAAAAATAATCCGGTGTAACAAAGCATTTTTTTTTTATTTCAACAATATTTCTTAGTTTATTTAAAAATCTAAGACATGTTTTATTGGATTATAAATTTAAAACTCTATTATGATTTATTAGTGAAATTAACATTTTATTATTTATCTAGTAAAATAGATATGCATGTTTTTTTAAAAATATTTATTTGGTTATGAGTTTTATCAATTTAATTGTGCCCGTTAATTTCATATATTTACATTTTAAAGTTAATAATTTTGGTAGCAATTTAAAAATTAGATTTTGGGTTGTTACATAACACCTCTCCTTGAACTCAAGATGGTATTGTAGATGTCATCTTGAGTTCGCATACTAAGTCGTGAAAATATCCAAGCAGGTACGCCTTAATAAAGATATCAGCAGTCTGATAAGAGGAAGATACAAAACTAAATGGAGAGTAGCAAGAGTAACATGATGGCGAATAAAATGATAATCAATCTCAACGTGTTTAGTACGCTCATGAAACACATTATTACGAGCAATCTAATTAGCACTTTAATTGTCACAATGCACAACAATAGAAGATGAGTGGGGAAGACCCATATCTTCTAATAAACGACGAAACCAAAGTAACTCTATAGTAACATCTGCAAGTGCTCAATATTTCGACTCTGTGCTAGAATGAGCCGAGACAATCTGCATTTTGCTATGCTAAGAAATAAGACAGTCACTCAAAAAGAAACAGTAACCAGTGGTGGAACGACAATCTATAGGATCACCAACCCAATCTGCATCAAAATACCTAAATAGTACTAGAGATGAGTGAGCTGAAAAATGAAGTCCGTGAAAGAGAGTACCCTTCGCATAGCAAAGTATTTGAATAACAATAGAGAAGTGAGAAGTGCGAGGAGCGGCCATAAATTGATTAACCAAGTGAACTACATAGTCAATATCAGGCCATGTCACGGTAAAATAGATCAGGCTAGCGATAGATAGTACAATCATCGAGAGGAGAACCATCCATAGGAGGAAGCTTGACATTTGGTTCCGAGGGAGTCAAAATAGTCTTGTTGTGTGTGATTTCAACACAAGAGATTACGTGGCCTATCAATTCACACATTAATATTCGGTAATTAATAATCTTTTTAAATATTTGTCACATACGAGATCGGCTCGGCAGAAGCCAGAAGTTGACAATAAGTGGGAAATGAAGAAAATAAAAATATTATTTTGGATTCATGTTTGTTTAGTTTAATAAATTTTTCTTGTCTCCTGTTTAACAAGGTTTATTGTCTTTTCTATTGCTCATAGATTCATTTGCAATTACATCGGGTTTCAATCTTTACAAAATAAAATAATATTTAGGTCTTCAATCTTTCATTCATATTTTTGATTTCCAACTTTTCACCGTTGCAGTTTATGGATATCAAGTGAATGGAAATTGTCATTTAACTATTAGAAAATCAAACTATAGCCTTATTTTATTTAAATTAAAAACAATAAATAAAAGAAATAAGAGAATGAGAAGGAAAATCAAAAAAGGAAAATCCTCAAGTTTGCTCGCAGCCAGCCACTAACCCTCGTAATCGTGTCCGTAACTCACACTCTTCATCTCTATGCTCGTGTGTCTACATGTAAATACTTGTCCACATTCTACTACCGCTAGCCTTACCCATCCAAGCCTACTGTGCTTTTGTGATTTGTCAATAGACCTTCCAATTATGTTGATTGCGTCTCTACAAGATTGGATAGATAAAGTTCATCTTTCAAGTTCTTTATATATATCGTGTAACTAAGAGCTACCAGCACACATGCACATACTAAGAGAGTTGTACACGCAAGCACACAAAGAGCCAATGATTATTGTTGACGTTGGGAGTAGTGGTGGACTGGTGGTGATGGTGGTAGGGCTTTTCCTTTTCCTTGTTTTCTTGTTCTTTATATTTTATATTTGTCAAAATTGATTAAGAATAAGCCAATTATTGCTTTAAAGTTTTGACTTTTTGCATGAAATAAAGTATGTATACATATAGATCAGGGTTTTTTATAGAAATGATCTAATGAGCACCAGTGTTTCACCGTTGCAGTTTATGGATATCTAGTGAATGGAAATTGTCATTTAACTACTAGAAAATCAAACTATAGCCTTATTTTATTTAAATTTAAAAAAATAAATAAAAGAAATAAGAGATTGAGAAGGAAAAACCAAAAAGGAAAATCCTCAAGTTTGCTCGCAGCCAGCCACTAACCCTCGTAATCGTGTCCGTAACTCACACTCTTCATCTCTCTGCTCGTGTGTCTACATGTAAATACTTATCCACATTCTACGACCGCTAGCCTTACCCATCCAATCCTACTGTGCTTTTGTGATTTGTCAATAGACCTTCCAATTATGTTGATTGCGTCTCTACAAGATTGGATAGATAAAGTTCATCTTTCAAGTTCTTTATATATATCGTGTAACTAAGAGCTACCAGCACACAAGCACATACTAAGAGAGTTGTACACGCAAGCACACAAAGAGCCAATGATTATTGTTGACGTTGGGAGTAGTGGTGGACTGGTGGTGATGGTGGTAGGGCTTTTCCTTTTCCTTGTTTTCTTGTTCTTTGTATTTTATATTTGTCAAAATTGATTAAGAATAAGCCAATTATTGCTTTAAAGTTTTGACTTTTTGCATGAAATAAAGTATGTATACATATAGATCAGGGTTTCTTATGCCACAAAATAATGTAAGGCCAAAAATGAAATACCCAATTTCAATTATTGGACTCCAAAAACACTTATCTTATTGCTGACTGAGTCCTTAATGCATGATATGGGGTCATGTTTCATTCTATTTTTCAGCAATTAATCTCGTTTATTAGGTAGGTTTTAACTTCTTTTTTCTCCTATTGTTAATTGGTATTATCCTATCCTAGCAGAGCAGAGCCACGACCGCACTAAAAAAAAAAAAAAAAAACATCTACATAAAATATTTTTTTTTTGGGCTATAGCTCAGGCCAGTCATGCTCTAAATCAACTCCTCTATCTTGCCTACTGAACATGACATAACATTCGATATTAAGCTCACTGGCTCTATTTTTGGGAGAACATATATTTTAGAATAGTGATTTTTTGAAAAAACGTATTGTCAAAAAAAGAAAAAAGATTGAATTTACGTGTAAAATTATTTTATCGGAGAATGAATTGTTGAAAATGAGTTTTTGAAAAAAAAAAAAAA